CGGCGCCCCCGCCCCCTGCCCTGCCAGGGGACTGACCCCGCAGGCGACGCCCTGCCCCACAGCTCACAGCACGGTCAGACCACGAGGCGCCTTCACACGCGGAGGGTTAGCCTCCCAGGGCGCAGGGCCTCAGTCACACGTGACCCGGAACCGCTGCTCCCGGGGCCGCTCCGTTCACATCGGGGGATGAAGGCGGGAACCACAGCGATGTGGAAGGCGGGGCCCTTCTGCACGGCTGCCCCACCCTGAATGCACTTCCTTTCTCCGTCTCCTCATCTGGAGGGCGAGGCATCAAGGAAAAGACGTGTCTCTTTTGTCCTTTTAGATTATCCGCGAGGGAGCCTGAGCATCCACACTGCCCGGTGCTTCCTGCGGGGCGTCTGCTCACACTGCGCCCGCGCTGAGAGCCTGGCCCCTGGGGTGTCACACGCACTGGCCGCGTGCGGAGCGGACAGTCCTACCGTCGCCATCACTGCACAGAGCGCCACCATGTGCGAGACCACACAGCAGGCACGACAGAAAGACACCTGCCCCGCCATCTTCCGGCAGAAGACCCATCTCCCATGCGAAAGCCCCGAGTTCCCCCAGCCACACACTCACAGGAAGGAGAGATGAAGGCGGAGACACCGACCGAGGCCCTGCTCCCAGCTCCGAGGCGAGGGCAGCAGGAAGTGCTGAGTGCGGTTCCCACAACGGTGCGTGGCATCCAGTCGCCCAAACACACCCAGTGCAGCTTAAGCAGCTGACTTCACCTCCCTACCATGTACCACTCTGACCTGCTCAGAGAACACATTTCTAAGACACTCTGTAAACCCAGGATTTAAACCTCCAAAGAACAGATTCCCTGTCTGCTGGGGATGTAGACGTGGGGGGGTTTGGTTTTACTGGACGAACACCAAAAATCGCAAACCCTGTTCTCATCCCCAAACACATTGTGTTAGTTTCACTCCTAATCAAGCCACCTTCTCAGACCAGCCGCCCCTCACCAGGCTCCCCCGGAAAGCGCTGCGGCCGACGTGGTGTGCGGGCGCCTGGCGCCTTTCCTAGAGCCTGAAGGGACCCCAGGAAGGGTCCGCGGTGTGTTCACCGCCGACAGCAGCGCCTGCGCTCGGAGAGCGGGTTTTGCTTGAGACCCGAGGCTGGTTTCGGGCCTCTGGCCACCGCCCGGAGGGAGACGTGCGCCAGGGATATAAACAGGACGGTCCTGGGAGCCGGGAGCCGGCAAGGCGGTGGTGCCTCTTCAGTGCCTGACCCCGAGGGAGGCACCTTCCAACGTAGAGGCCGCACGAAACGCGATGAAGGAGAGCAGCCGCGGGCAAAGGGTCCCAGAGCTCGATGGCAGGGCTGCCGGCCTCCTGGAGCAGCCCCCCCCCCCCCATTCCTCTCGGGAACAACGCCTCATTCTGATGGGCCGGCTGCTCCTCACCAGTCCCTCCTCTGGGAGCCGCCCAACTGCTCGGCCAGCCTCCCAGGCGCCCAGCAGCGGAGCGGAGCCCCTTCCTGAGAAGGGCCGCTTCACCCTCAGGCGTGGGCCTGGGCACGTCACGGGAGACAAAGGCTCGGAGGTCACGGACACGCCATCTCCCGAAGGCCTTTCGATTCTGACCGAGGCGTCCAGTGGGCAGATGCAGGGACCCCAAAGGCCGTTTGAGATGCTCCAGCCACACAGCACCGCCCACAGCGGTGCCCGCCCCGGAACAAGCCTGCCCAGAGCCCAGCAGCCACGGGCTCACTCCACCTCGGGGCACGTGGGGGCGCAGTGCTGTGCCCACTTCACGGAGGAGACGGACACAGCTCAGGACCCGGGATGCCGATGCGAGTGCTTGTTTTAACCCATATTCTTCCTGCCCCTCGGCGGGTGTGTCGGGGAGACGGGCAGGGGCAGGAGGGCGGCACGGGCTTCAGAAGCAGATCTGCACTGACCTGGGCGGAGCCGGCATTTCTGGTTCTCTGCTTGTTAAAAAGTTAACTAGATCTAGAAGTAGGGGCGTGCTGAACGCCTGGTGAGCTCAGAGGAGATGCGATGAGTTCAGACCCGACTTTACAAACAGGGAACGCCGTCACTCACACACCTGTCACAGCAGCGTGGCCCAGACCCCCGCCACGGGCTGTGGGCAGCGGGACGCGGCCAGTCCGAACTGAGGTGTGTTATAACACTCACTGCATTTCAAAGACTTCGCATGAAAAATAAATGGAAATACTTTAAAAATTTTTAATACTGATTATATGTTATAACAAAATTATAATATTTTGGATGTTTTGCATTATTAAAATACATCATTTTACTTATTTCTTTACCTCTCTCCATGTGGGTAATTTAAAATGTGTTTTTTTAATTGATTTGAGAGAGAGAGAGAGAAGGGAGAGGGATAGAGAGATGGAAAGAAACATCAATTTACTTATTTCTTTACCTCTCTCCATGTGGGTAATTTAAAATGTGTTTTTTGTTTTTTTTTTAAATATATTTTATTGATCCTTTACAGAGAGGAAGGGAGAGAGACAGAGAGCCAGGAACATCGACGAGAGAGAAACATCAGTCAGCTGCCTCCCGAACATCTCCTGGAGATGTGCCCGCAACCCAGGCACATGCCCCCGACCGGAATCGAACCTGGGACCCTTCAGTCCGCAGGCCGACGCTCTATCCACCGAGCCAAACCGGTTTTGGCTAAAATGTGTTTTTTTAATTGATTTGAGAGAAAGAGAGAGAGAAGGGAGAGGGATAGAGAGATAGAAAGAAACATCAATGAGACACAAACATCAATCGGCTGCCTCCTGCACACCCCCTACTGGGGATCGAGCCTGCAACCTGGGCATGTGCCCTGACTGGGAATCAAACCCATAACCTCTTGGTTCATGGGTTAATGCTCAACCACTGAACCACACCAGCCGGGCTGATTGTGGGTAACGTGTGTATGAGGTTCACTTTACATTTCTGTTGGACCGCATTGCTGTACGGGAACATTTCTTAAAATGAAGTTTGTTTCTTTACGATTACAAAAATGTCATTTTTTACTGTAGAAAATAGAGGAAACAACTACTTAGAGAAGCGAACTAAACCCTCAAAAGTATCGCTGTCCGGAAGTAACTTTTGTTAACGTCTTAGAACGTCCGCCTCGTTCCCTTTCGGTGACAGTCACACTCAGCCTCACTCCGTCGGGTTCAGGTGGACGGCACCGAGGTCCCGCCGCTTCGGGCCCCACACGGTCATCACGCTGTTCCCGACGATGCCCGGTGCCGCACGTCGCCGTGACTGCTCCATACCTACCCGTCTGCACTGCTCACTCCCTTCACCTTCTCTCCTGGCCCAACCCCCGCCCGGCACTGTCAGCCTGCTTTCTGTTCTCAAAAATATCTCTTCCTAGAGATAACGTTTGAGATCTGAGAATGTCCTGGGTCTCACTCCCGATGGAAATCTCTGTGTGACATTAACATCTCGCGTGGCTCAGGCTCTGGTCGGCCACCATCACGTCCCACCTGGATTCCTGCAAACCTTCTCGCTGGTCTCCTCACGTCTGCTCTTGGCCCCTTCGGTCATTCTCAAACCAGCCACCATCGCATTCCTCTGCAAACCCCACCTGACTCCCTCTCATGAGGGTAGGAGTTCCGGTCCCCACAGAGGCTCGCTGCGCCCAGCCATTGCCTCTGACCCCATGTCCAGCCTGCTGCCCCTGATCCCGTGTCCAGCCTGCTGCCCCTGATCCCGCGCCCAGCCTGCTGCCCCTGACCCCGCGCCCAGCCTGCTGCTGACCCCGCCGTGTCCTCCTTATCTCCTGCCTGCCCTGGGCCAGGGCCTCCCTGCATCTGCCTGGGGCCTGGCCCTGCTGGTTCCTGGTGCCTGAAACCCGCTGCCCAGGATCCACATGACCCCCTCCCTCAGTCCACAGCCACTACGTGAAGCCTGCTGCCCCTGACCCCGTGCCCAGCCTGCTGCCTCTGACCCCGTGTCCTCCTTATCTCCTGCCTGCCCTGGGCCAGGGCCTCCCTGCATCTGCCTGGGGCCTGGCCCTGCTGGTTCCTGGTGCCTGAAACCCGCTGCCCAGGAT